AAAAAAAAAAAAAAATTATAATGTGTCTCAGTGTGGGTCTCTTTGAATTCATCTTACTTGGAGTTTGTTGAGCTTCTTGGATAAACATTCATGACTTTATCAAATTTGGGAAGTTTTCAGCCATTATTTCTTCAAATATCCTCTCTACTCCTTTCTCTCTCTCCTCCTCTGGGATTCTCACAATGCATATACTGGTTTCTCTGTCCCATCAGAGGTCCTTTAGGCTCTTGTTCACTTTTCTTCAATCTTTTTTCTTTCTTCTCTTCAAACTCAATAATTTCCATTATCCTATCTTCAAATTCACTGATTCTCTCTTCTGCCTACTCAAATCTACCTTTGATTTCTCTAGTGAAGTTTTCATTTCAGTTATTGTTCTTTTCAGCTCCAGGATTCTTTTTTGGTTTCTTTTTAGGTTTTATGCCTCTTTATGGATATTTCTATTTTGTTCATACATTATTTTCTTGACTTTCTCTACATCTTCCTTTAGTTCTTTTTAAAGTTGTTGTCTAGTTGATCTGCTGTCTGGTTTTTCTCCTGGATGGTTTCTACTGTTTTTTTTTTTCCTTTGAATGGGCCGTACTTTACTTTTTATTTTATGCCTTATGGTTTTTTTTTTTTTTTTGATTGTTGAAAACTGGGCATTTTGATATAATAATGTGGTAACTCTGGAAATCAGATTCTCCCCCTTTCTGAGAGTTTTCTGTTATTTTTTGGTCTTATTTTACTTTTTGTTTCTTGATTCTTGTGCCAGAGATCAGCCTGAGGTGTATATATATGTGAGGTCTTCTCAGGTCTTTTATGAGTCTATGCCTTTACATGGGCATGTGTGATGACTTTCTAAATTTCTCTGTAAATGTGGTGGTTTTTGAATGTCCTAGTCCTTAAATGTTTGGCTCCCAAATGTGGAAAAAGAGAAAAATGAAGGAGGAGAAAGGCCCTCGACCTTTAAATTCCCTGGAAGTTTCTTCAGCCAGAGGAGGAAGGGCTTGCAACAATGGGGAGGGGCTGGTCCCGCCTCTGTGTCTGTACCGCTGGGGTCAGAAGCAGCAATCAACAATCAGAGCATGGATCTCTGATATCTGGAAGATGGGGTCTTATTGCCCACCCTGGCTCTGTAAACTGCACAAGCTGCTCCTGGAATGCATGCACAGCTGCCTGCCAAGGGGTTGGGTGGTGGGGGATTGGTAACTATTACAGTGCTAAGAACTGAAATTGACCAAAATTAACCACAATTTACATCCAAGTCATCCTCTGGAAGTTTTAAGCCTTTCAGTAAACTCCAGAGTTCCAAGATAGTTACATCAGACAGATTCTGTCAGTACAATTGCTATCTAGATGGGGAGATGGATTCCTGGTGCATCCTACTTTGCCATCTTCCCAGAATCCTCTCTCTCATTCAATTAATTTGTATTGGATGTCTATTATGAACCAGGAGTATCTGTCCACTGGAGATAGACTGAGCAATATATACAAGAATCTCTGCCCTCATGGAGTTTATACAGGGGAGTCAGACAATAGAAAACTAAAATATATTATTTTATGTAATGATAAGTGCTAGGGAAAAATATTTGAGCATCTGTAGCAGATGCTGTAGTTGTCCCATCCATGTCTCATCAGCATTTAACATTCTCATGCAAGCTGGCTACATTTCCAGCTGGCAGCACCTGCAACTACTGGCCTGAGGGCTCTCTCTGGCTCCTGGGGCCTCCTTTGCTTGAGTGCAAGACAGGGCTGGGAGCAACGGAGAATTGAGGATGCCCCAGAGAGCACCCCTCAACCAATAGCTGATGTGAGCTGAGGATAAGAATCTGGCTTCCTTCCCCCTCAGTGTACTGAGCTCCAGTTGTCCATAGTGGCAGTTTGTTTCGTCACACATGTTTTGTGAGCTCTTTCTCTTCCACACTTTCCCATCAGTGTTTCCTGGATCATCTTTCAAATAAATTACTTACAGTTGAATCCTTATCTCAGAATTTGCTTATAGGGGGACCTAAGATAAGATTTTATCAAGAGTGGGGGTGAGGGGCTAGGTGTGGCGGCTCACTCCTGTAATTCTAGCCCTCTGGGAGGCTGAGGTGGGAGGATCGCTTGAGGTCAGTAGTTCAAGACCAGCCTGAGCAAGAGTGAGATCCCATCTCTACTAAAAATAGAAAAATTACTGGGGCATCATGGTGCATGCCTCTAGTCCTAGCTACTCAGGAGGCTGAGGCAAGAGGATCGCTTGAGTCCAAGAGTTTGAGGTTGCAGTGAGCTGTGATGATGCCACTGCACTCTTGCACTGTCTTTTGAGACAGAGCAAGACTCTATTTCAGAAAAAAAAAAAGAGTGGGGGTGAGGGACAAGTGGGAAGGAATGGCTGGCAGCCTGTAAATATGTACCCACCTGTGCTTACCTGGTCAGGTCATTGAGAAAGGCTTTGCGGGTTGGCCATTCTGTGTTTTTGCCTATATCTTTACAAAAAGTGGATGCTTGGCCACTGTTTAGGGCAAGGAGAGGCCTCAATGTCTAAGTTAGATTAGCTCCCTATGGTGGTCAAAGTGTGAAAGTTTTTACCAAAACAAACCCATTATTAAACTTATCTGTTAAACTACTCCCCACATCCTGGTTGGTATCTTTTCATTTGGCCCATGGCCTTGTTCTTCCTTTTCTCAGCCTCTTTACCTGCTAAGAAGTATAGACACTTTGTTGTTTTAAATTACCTACTGGTATTTTTTCTTTATGATTATAGAAGTCATTCTATTTTTTGTATAAAGGTTTTAAATACAAGAAATATACAGAAGAAAAAATCATCCTGTGGCAGATTGAAGAGAGCCACAAATTCTTTGACACTCCTCCCATTGAGAAGTGGGACCTATGACCCCTTTCTCTGAATGTGGATGAGCTCTGTCACTGCCTGACCAACAGAATATGGTGGAAGTGACTGCGTGTTTCCAGATCAAGACCTTACCAGACTGGCAACTTTCACTTACTGTCTCTGGGAACACTTGCTTTTGAAATCCAGCCACCATGCTGTGAACAGCCCAAGCCACATGGACAGGGCACATGTAGGTGCTCCAAGTGACAGCCCCAACTGAGCTCTTAGCCTATAGCCAACTGCCGGCTGTGTGAGTGATCCGTTTTGGAAGTCTAGCTCAATTGCTCCTTTGAATGCCTTTAGCCCCCTTCATGATCTGACTGTAATCATGTGAGATACCCCATTGAGAACTGCTGAGGCCAGGCAATTCACAGAAACATGAGAGACAATAATACATTGCTGTTTTTAGATACTAAATTTTGGAGTGGTTTGCTATGCAGCAATAGGTGTGGGAACATACCCATAATCCTACCATCTTGGAAATAACCACTATTAACATTTTGGTTTTCCTGCACATATATACTTTTTTAAAAAATGTACAGAATTTTTATGGATTTTTTTTTCAGTCAGAAAACATTTATTTCCAACTGGTTATTAGGAAAGTAGAATTAGGGCCAACAAAAAAATAAAATGTGTTGAGAAACAGTGAGAAGAACCATTGGTGTGGAAATCACCTTAGCAGGCACATGAAGGTGCGGTTTGGTGGTCTGTGTATTTCCTGCAAGTGTTTACCCGTGTTATTGAAACAGAATTAGGAATGACTATACACAATGGAATGTAAGGACACATCAGAATGAGATATTATTTAATTGTTCTTCTGTTGTTGGATTTTCAGGCTGTTCCAGTTTTTCAGTATTAAAAGCTATGCTGCAATAAATAAGCTAGTACATGTATCTTTGATGGCACTTCTTAGCTATTTCTCTGGATGAATTATTGGAAGTGAAAAATCTTTGGCAAAGGTTTTGAGGCTTTTTAAAAAAAGCAAAATAATATTTCAAAAGCACCAGGTATCTCTGTACTTGAGTTGTCCTTGTTGATGGCTACAAATGAGGACAGCTGTGGCTGAGGGGTGCTTCTGTTTCCATGGGCTGGAGGAGGGACATTTTGCAAAGTATTTTCGGGGAGACACAGAGTTTGACCTCCCACACGTGTTTGATTTGTATTATTGTTGAGAGCACACGTTCCAGGAGGCAGGCCCTAAGTCTATTCCGCTTGTTTTTCATAATGCTTTGGCCAACCCCAGAACAAGTGGGTGATCAGCGGTACCTTTTGGATAATGACCATGATGGTTGGGGCAGGAAGCTGGGTAAGAAGCGGGTAGGGTGTGTGCAGTCCTAGCAGTAAGGTCAAGCAGGGCTGTGCTCACTGAATCTCCACCCTCTTCCTTTGAGTCTCTCGCAGGCTTCTGCCTCCCACTTCTCTTTTTCTACCCTTTCTAGCTTTGGCGGCTTTCTTGAGTGGCTCAGTGGTGCCCGCAACACTACCGTCCATACTCCTTCCAGGTTCCTGCTCCTTCCAGCCATGGCTTGCAGAGTCCTTCTGTTATCAGGTGCACCAGGGGCTTGGGGGGCTCTCAGGGTGGGTTGGAGGGGAATTTTTGGGTCTGTGCGTGAAGAGAAAAAGTGCAGAATATCCAGGAGTTAGTCTGGGGAGAGGCCAAGGGGACTTGGGGAGGGATAAAGGATTTGGGAAGCAGCAGGGAGTAGAGCCAGACCAGATGGGATGGCCAGGGAAGCTTTGATGAATGGCTGCGTTCATAGGCTGTGCGAGGCCATTGGGCTGGTCCCGTCACCTCACAGATGAGAAAACTGAGGCCCAGAGATGTGAAGTGACATGCCCAAGGGTGCATGGCAGGTGTTTCCTCTTGGATTCCACCTCACCACCTCCACTTTGCCTCCAGTTCTATTTTCCAAGGACCAAAATGTAAACGTTTGTTGATTGATTCCAGTTTGTTCTCTTCTGTGCCTGTGTTTTGTGGAGAATGTGACAAGGAGGGAAGGAAATGTGTGAGAGTTGCATAGGAAGGAAATTATCTAATCAAAGGTATCAAGAAACCTGATTGTTGAGCAAATCATCGGGGTGCTAATACTAGGGGAAGAGGCCACTTGTGTGCTCAGAGAAGAGAATGGAAGTCAGAGAGGTGCTGTATGCATCCCCCGATGGTGGCTCTTCGGCTGTGGATCAGAGAATTGTGGCCTGGGGGGTCAGATATAACACCACTTGTTCTTGTACAATCTGCGAGCCGCAGGTTGACGATGAACATTTGCAATCCATTTGGTGATAGGGAACGCTAACTTCGAACCCCAGTTAAGTGAAATGCTATCTCTACCCCCAAAGAATTCCATTTGTCTCCTTAGTAAACCTGTATTATAAAAATTTGTACTGAATAATTATGTTTTGAATTCCCTTAATGAAAAATTTGTGGAAATGTATTTCTGCTCTTGTTATATAAGAACCTACACAACACATTCTATTGGCTTCTTGGTCTGTAAAACCTAAAATATTTACTATCTGGCTCTTTATAGAGAAAGTGTGCCAACCCCTGCCCCAGCCTACGGGGTCTGGACGTGGGAGGCAGGCACCTCGGCGCTGGGCTGGGCTGACTCTGGACATGATGCAGAGAGCAGGAGGCACCTGCTTCCTTAACTGTCTCCTTTCCTGTGACCCTGACCCTTGTGCCCCCTCCAGTCTTGACCTTATGTCGCGGGTTCAACCTGGACACTGAAAACCCAATGACCTTCCAAGAGAATGCAAGGGGCTTTGGGCAGAGCGTGGTCCAGCTTGAGGGATCCAGGTAAGAGCCTCAGATGGATTCCCTGTCTCACGTGCTTTCCCTCCAAGGCTTAAATATCTGAAAAAAGCGGCAGTTTCCTTGAGTAATTTTTTTGGAATAGGTAATAGAGTTACAGGGTTCTAAATTCCAAAGACACAAACAGGTGTAAGAGTAAAAGTCCCCTTTTCACTCCCTTCCCCCTAGTTCCCTTCCCAGGAGGGACCTTGGGGAGTGGTTTCTCGTGTGTTCTTCCAGAGAATGTCTATGTGCCTGTAACACACATACATCCTCCGAGGCCGCATCCCCACACAATTCGTAGCACACATTATACTGCCTGCAGGCTGCCACTCATTTTTGAAAATAAATTTTATTAAACACAACCGTGTCCACTCACCACTTACTGCTTATGGCCACTTATCAAGCTATAATGGCAGAATTGAGTAGCTGTGACAGAGATTATAGCCCGCAAAGCTAAAGCATTTACCTTTACAGAAATAACATTTACGGAGATAATATTACCTTTACAGAAAAGAGTGCTAGTCTCTGCTCTGTAGTGCCCTTTGCTTTCTTCCCCCTTAATCTTGGTAATTTGATCTGGTAAGTACATAAAGAGCTGACTCATTCTGCTTTACGCTTGCATGATATTCCATTATTTGGAGGTACTCTAATTTGCCTTACATTCCATTAAATCTCTTCTTAATGAACACTTAGGTTGTTTCCAAACTTTTGCTATATGAACAATGCTGTCATTCTGCCCATGTGCAAGTGTATTTGGAAGTAAATTCCTAGAACTTGGATTGCTAGATCAAAGGATAAACAGGCATATATAATTTTAATAGATTTTTCCAGATACTCTCTACAGAGGTGGCGACAGCTTACACTTGCACCAGAATGTATGAAAACACCTACCTCCCCACCCATTTGCCAACCCAATGTGTTATCAAACTTACTGATCTTTGCAAATTGAATGGGTGAGAGGTGGCACCTCAATTTAGTTTTAAATCGCTTTCTCTTTTTATAACAAAATGAACACTTTGTTCTTATCTGTTGCTCATTTTTCTATTTCTTTTTAAACTAGTTTGCAGGAGCTCTGCATATACTGAGGAAAGTAGTCTGGGGTATGACTTGCTAATGTCCCTCCACCCAGTTTATCATTTGTTTATTGGCTTTGCTTATGGTAGTTTATCACATACAGAAATTTGTTTAAAATGACTATGTGTTGAATTTATCTATTTTTTAATAACCTCTGATGTTATGCTTAGAAAGACTCTACCTGTTCCAAGATTTGAAATTTTCCCATTTTTAAAATTTGCTAATTCTTCCTCTTATTTATGGAAATTCAGGAATCCATGTGGAGGGATCCACTTTCCTCTGGGTGGTAGAACCTCTGTGGTCATGTTAGAGTTTTCCCCCCTATGTTAGAGTTTTCTCTCTTCCTACCTCTCCCTCCAGGGTGGTGGTTGGAGCCCCCCAGGAGATAAAGGCTGCCAACCAAACAGGCGGCCTCTACCAGTGTGACTACAGCATAGGCTCATGTGAGCCCATCCGCCTGCAGGGTGAGTCATTGCCCCTGCCTGGGCCCCAGGGCTGGAATGCACCTGTGAACACACCTGGTCTTGGCAGGCGTTCTCCTATTCTGGAGATCCGTGGTGGGGGGCACAGGTGTCTGGCTCTGCAGCCTCTGCTCTGTCTGGTGTCTGACCCCAGACACCCTGGGGCAGCCCCTCCAGGTTCCTTCCCCGTGACCTTGGTGCCCCTTGACCTGTCAGACCTCTGTGTCTCTCAGGTTGAGGTGGGCCCTGCCCAGCTCTTACACAGCCCCTCTTATCCCCCTGAGGGTGACCATGTACATATCTGTTCCCTCAGCCCCCCCAGAGGCTGTGAACATGTCCCTCGGCCTGTCCCTGGTAGCTGCCACCAACCCCTCCCGGCTGTTGGTGAGTTGCCCTGGGTCACAGGAGGGTCTCAGCCAGGGCAGGGGGGCGGTTGGGAGCCTAGGACTGGTGGGGAGCGGAGATGCTTGGGAGCAAGGACAGGAAGCAGGGGAAGCCCTTTTTTACTGGCCCCATGTCCTCCAGGCCTGTGGCCCCACTGTGCACCAGACTTGCAAGGAGAACACGTACGTGAAAGGCTTATGCTTCCTGTTTGGATCCGACCTATTGCGGGAGCCCGAGAGGTTCCCAGGGACCCTCAAAGGTAGGTGGCCTTTGGCCAAGCGTACAGATGGGCAGCGTGAGACAGGGTCGGGGCAGGACTGGGGCCTGTGCATGGTCTGGGGGGTGACTTAGAGGTCTAGGGAGCTGGGTTGTGTTAGAGGGAGAGGCTAGGGGAAGTGCTAAGGGCTCGCACTAAAAGGTCCTGATGCAGCCACTCACCTCTGTGAGAGAGGGGATCAGGCCTCCTGAGTTCGCAGAGGTCCCAGTCATTGTCCTTAGAGCAAGTGCCTAAATCTCCCAACCGCAGTCTCTGCTGCTCTGGCTGGTTTGGCCCCTGCTCGCCTCTGCAAATGCTCCCATCTCTCTGCCTCGGTCACTGTGCTCCAGCCGCTCTGGCTGCCGTTCTTCTCCAAGCAGCACATCCAGCCATCCTGCCTCAGGGCCTTTGCACTTACTGTTCCTTTGGCCCTCCTGCTGTTCCCCAGATCTCAGCTGACAATCCATTATTGTCATCACAGCTCAAATGTCACCTCTTTGAAGAGGCCTTTCCTGTGTGGCCCTTCTAATCATTCTGACACCACTCCCCGTCACACTGCCGGGTTCCATGACAGCAGGGGTATTGTCCGGCTTGTTCGCTGTTATGTGCCCTTTATCTACTGCTGTTTAACAGATTACCTCTGAATTCAGCAGCTTAAAACAGCAAACATTTGTTATCTCAGAGTTTCTGTAAGTCAGGAATCTGGGCATGGCTTAGCTGGGTGCCTCTGCCTCAGGGTGTTCGTGAGATTGAAGTCAAACTGTTCCATCAGGGCTACGGGCTCATGTGACGCCCTGGCTGGGAGACAGTCTAATTCCAAGCTCAGTCACGTGGTTGTTGGCCTGAGGGCCTCCGTTCCTCACCGGCTGTTGGCCAGAGACCTCCCTCAGTGGCTTGCCACATGGGCCTCTCTCGAGAGCAGCTCACAAACAGCCGCTGGCTCCCTCAGAGTGAGAGAACCAGAGAGCGGGAGAACAAGACAGTGGGCGCCCAAGACCTAAGTCAGTCTTCATAACCTAATCTCAGAAGTGACATCTCATTAACTCTGCCATACTCTGTTCCTTCGAAGTGAGTCGAAAAGTCCAGCTCACACTCAAGAGGAGTGGGCTATTCAAGGGTGTCATTGCCAGGAGGTGGGAATCTTGGGGACCATCTTGGTGGCTGCCTACCACACTCCTGTTCCCCAACATTTGTTGAGAGAGAGAGAGAGAGAGAGAGAGAGAGAGAGAGAGAGAGAGAGAAAATGAATTGTTCAAGCTGCTTTCTCCCACTGCTCTGTTCAACTGCTTGGCCATCTTTTTGCTGTTGGTTCTGGAACCAAAGGTAGATATTTCTCGTTTTACAGCTTTTCTTTCTCAAGCCCGGCTCCGCTGTACTTCAGCCTCCACAGATAACCCTCCTTACTTCCCGGAGAAAACAAGTGCTTCCAGGTGTGGACCCCCTCCACTTCCCCCTTCTCCTTGTCCACATTTCCACAATGGCGCCACCTTGGCAGTGTCTCGCCAGTTTTAGGAGGGATCTGTCTCTCCTCCTTCTCATGACTAGTTCTTCCACCTGGGCTTTTGAGGGTCTCTCATGCACCACCTAGGAAGCCCACTTCTTCAATCCCTCGTTCTCTCCAGGAGCTTTAATTTCCCCTCCTCTGAATGTCAACATGCTCATGCTACCTGTATCTTAAAAACAATCAACCACCAACCCTGAGAGCAGTGAAAACAATCTTCCCGCATCTGGTGTCTCCTCATCTCCTGCCATCTCTCCTTCCCTTCACAACCAAGCTTCTCGAAAGGGTGCTCTCACCTCATCTCTACTGCCGCATTTCACGATTCTGCACTGTCTGATGTCTGGCTTCTCTGTCCACCCATTGTACAGACCTTGCTCTTGACAATGGCATCTGTGACACCCTGAGTGCCAAATCTCTTTTCTCTCCTCAGGTTCACCGAGCTTTCTGGTGTGATCTGCAGGTTGCCTCGGCCATTTCCAGACGTCCTGGCTTCAAACATCCCAGGCTCTTGCTTCCGCCCTGCTGGGGCTTCTCCGCTTCACCCCCAGGCTGTCTCCCTCTGCCTTCCCTGTCCAGCTAGGAGCTACGGGTTCTGCTTCTCTTCTCGCCCATGTGTCCTTCCTGTCTGATGCCATGCAGTTCTATGGCTTCAGCTACCACCTCTACGTCTCTCTTCAGACTTCTGTCCTAGTCCGTTTTGTGTTGCTATAAAAGAATACGTGAGACTGGGTAACTTCTGAGGAAAAGAGGCTTATTTGGCTCACGGTTCTGCAGGCTGCGCAAGAAGTGGGGCACCAGCATCTGCTTCTGGTGAGGGCTTCAGGGAGCTTCCAACCAAGGCAGAAGGCGAAGGGGGAGCAGTCACGTCCCATGGCGAGAGAGGGAGCCAGAGAGAGGGGAGGGGGTGCCAGGCTCTCTTAAACAACCAGCTCTCCAGTGAGCTAATGGGGCGAGAACTCACTCATTACCTCAGGACTGCACCAAGCCGCTCATGACCCAAACAGCTCTCACCTCCCACACTGGAGATCAAATTTCAACATGAGATTTGGAGGGCAGAAACCTCCAAATTACAACAACCTCACTCCCAGGAGTTCAAGACTACTTCTTAATTTTTGTTCCATTTACTAAAAACGTGTACTACACGCACTTGGTTTCAAATTCAGAAGGCACTAAAGGATACACTGTGGAAACGTCCTCCTCTCCGGTCAGGAAACCGCTGTGGCCAGTTTCTTGTGTCTTCATCTGGAGATACTCTGTGTACTGACAAACATACTCACATGTGCATATTTTACACTTCTGTGCCACGAATGGTAGCATGCTGTACACACTATTCTGTACCTTCATTTCTTTCATGTAACATATCTTTGAGATCTTCAAAAATTTTCCTGGCCTGTCTTCTTTGTATATTTTCTACATAAACATTAGAAACATATTTTGTGTAACCATCACCATACTCAAAATACAAAAAAGCTCCTCCCAAAACCTCCTTCGTGAGGTTCCTTTATGGGCCACTGCCCCCCATCCCCCTGGTCCCCCATCCCCTGGCAGCCACTCATCTGTTCTCTGTCACTATAGCTTTGTCTTTTCTAGAATGTCACATAAATGGAATTGGAACCTTTTGAGACTGGCATCTTTCCCCAGCATGTGAGCCTTATCCGTGTTGTTGTGTGTGTCGTAGTCCACACGCTCTCAGGGCTGAGCGGTACTCCCCGCTGGGGTCACACACCCGCAGTCGCCGGCTCACCCGCTCGCTCCCTGGAGGCCGCTGGGCTGTTTCTGACGTTTGGCAATCTTCTCACTGCTGCAGCGATCTCTCTCAAATACAAACGAGCCAACTCACTTCCTTTCCTAAGAACCTTCGGTGGCTCCCCACTGCCTAAGGGATGAAGCCGGACTTCTCGCTGGAGTAGAGAGACCCTTGCCACCTGTCCTCTGCTCAGTGTCGGGGCTCGTCTCCACCCGCAGCGCAGACGTTCGCCCCGGTGGCGCCGTTTCCGTGAACGGCGTTCCTTGATTCCGCCAGGATCCTTTTGGGCCCCATCCTCTCTGTGTCAGTCGGAGTCCCAACGAGGACAGATGGCACAATTAGAATAATTTGCGGAGGGCTTATGTACAAAAGGACTAAATATAAAGGTGCGATAGGGTCTAAGGGGACCGTAAGGAGTAGTCTGAGCATCTGGAGTGAGGGGCAGCAGACCTGTCCCCCTCTAGGCTGGTGGGATGGGGATGGGCTCTGGGTTCACGAGAACCCAGAGAGTCACGTGGGGCAGCCTCCTTGCGAGGAGCCCTGGTCCCCTGTCCAGGGCATAGCTGACCCAAAGCAACTTGCAGAAAGGCAGCCCATGGGAGAACACCCTGGCCTCACTCCCCTCCTTCCCTCCAGTCTCCTGTTGGGCCCCCCAGAGGGTAAAGGAACCCCACTGGTGTGGTCCACCTCCTGGGCCACAGAGCCCAGTGGAGAAGGGTAGAAAGTGGGTTTGGGGGTGGAGGCGGAGGGGGGAGCACATCCAACATATCCTTATATGTGCTATTCTTTTTTCTATTATTTATTTCTCCCTTTGTATTTCTGGCAAATTATTTCTTGTTCTTCATGATCCAGTCAAATATCCCATTTTCCCTGACTCTCATGGGTAGAATTAACCAAAATTTCCCACACCACTGTTTGGTTATGTTTTTGTCTAGCTGGGAGTATGGGTTGGGTCTTGTTTATTGTCTAATCTCATTGCCCAGCAGAGAGTGACATGCAAAAAAAAAAAGCACCAAGTCTCTAATTACTTACTTAATCAATTCATACTTTTTCTTCCTCAGGGTGTCCTCAACAGGAGAGTGACATTGCCTTCTTAATTGATGGCTCCGGTAGCATCAACACAAATGACTTTCGTCGGATGAAGGAATTTGTCTCAACCGTGATGGAGCAGTTTGAAAAGTCCAGAACCTTGGTGAGGGCCCATGGGTAGGCTGGGAACAGCCCATATACGGCTGGCAGATGTGTGGCAGCCAGGCCATCGCTTTCCCCTTCTCCTTCAATTGCAGACATTGCCAAATTGACAATCCACCGTGGTTTTCTTTCCTGATTCTCTGTTCTGCTCCATCTGGATGCAGCCTCGGCATTCCTTCAGCCTTTTGTAAAGCAGGCAGCTCCGACTGGCTGACAGGGGTTGACATGGGAGATGAAACTGGTGTCGCATCTCTGGCTGAGTTCTAGTATTGAGAGGAAGTGGGAGCTGACGGCAGACCTCTGATGGCAGAGGCACTGGGGGCAGTGCCGAGAAGGAATTTGGGAACTGGAATATTTCAGGATTTGGGTTGGGCTTGCTGGGAGATGTCTAAGGGAGTGGGACACCTTCCGTAGTGTAATGCCAGGTGCCTCCTTCCCAGTTCTCTTTGATGCAGTACTCTGATACCTTCAGGATTCATTTCACCTTCAGAGATTTCCAGAAAAACCCTAACCCAAGATGGCTGGTGAGGCCAATAACACAGCTGTACGGGAGGACGCACACTGCCACAGGAATCCGCAAAGTAGTGTAAGCTCTTCTTTCTTTGCTAAGGATGGGAGCAGGAGGAGATATTTTTAGTCGGGCTTTGAAGGATGAAGGGAGTTGTTCAGACAGGGTTGGGGTAAAGGATGCTTCCAGTGGAGGGAACAGCATGGGGAAAGGCGTGGAGGGACTGTGCATGGTGTGTTCCTAAAAAATCAAGTTGTGAGTAAAGGTGAGAGTAAAGTGGGGAAGTGAGGGAAAGGTGGCTGGAGGGAGGCTAGAAGATCCGTTGAGGTCAGGTCACCAAAGGCAACTGTATAGTCAGTTGGGGAGCCATTGAAGGTTTTAAGCAGAGGGGAGACATTGCCACACCTTGTTTTGGAAAGGTCACTCTGATTTCAGTGTGTGTGGAGGTGAAAGTAGGGTTGGGGCAGAAGTGCAGGAAGGACTCGAGAGTCCTAGATGTGCCAAAGAGCTGGTGCAGTGGTCTAGGAGAGGTTTGATGAAGGCCTAATTATTTCTTTTTAAATTTAAGAGTCATAATATTCAGTTTAAAAAACGAAACTATGCAAAAGTATACAAAGGCAGAGAAGGCTTCGTTTCCCTCCCCTGCTGCCTTTCCAGGTCTTGGGGCAGCCACAGCTCAGTGTTAAGTCCCAGAGGAGACCAAGCCCCTCCTAGGCAGAGCCCAATGGTATCTCTGTCTGTGACTCAGCTCACCTTTCCTCCCTAACATTAATAATATCTCTGTCTACTTGCATTTGACTTTGTCCTTTCTCTTCCCTGCACAGAAGAGAACTGTTTGATGTCGCCAATGGAGCCCGGGAGAATGCCCTTAAGATCCTAGTCGTCATCACAGATGGAGAAAAGTTTGGTGACCCTTTGTCATACAATGATGTCATCCCTGAGGCAAACAGAGAAAGGGTCATTCGCTATGTCATTGGGGTATGAAATGTGGCTTGGTACTTCTGCTGAGGGTTTCTATTTGGATACACCCTCCCTTCAGTTTGCAAATACGGATAAACTCAAAGTGAGGAAAGGGTTATTGCTAGCTCACATGTGCCTGTATCAGTTATCTATTGTCACAATAGTGCTGTGTAACAAACTATTCCAAAAATCCAGTGGCTTAAAATAGTAAGTAAGCCTGTAGGTCAGCTGGACAGGTTTTCTGGTCTCAGTCGGCTCACTCGCACATCTGTAATCAACTGCAGAGGGTCTTGGCTGGCCTCTCCCCATTTCTGAGGGTTGCAGCCATGTTTGCCTGCTGGGTGAGATGGCCTTTGTTGGAACAACTGGGGTGACTTGGCTCTTCGGCTCCCTGGGTCTTATTCTCCAGTGGGCTGGCCTGGACGTGCCCTCGTGGCGAAAGCAGAGAAACAAGAGAGCAAGAGGAAGTGTTGCAAGTACCTTTTCAAGCCTCTGTTTGCATCATGTTGATAACATCCAGGGGCTAAAGCAAGACCCATGGCCGAGCCCAGAGACAGTGAGTGAGGCAGATTACTCCACCAAGAGTAGGAAGGCACAGCAAAGTTTTGGGGAAAGGACTTAAGTAAAGGAAGAGGTAGAGAGTTAGGAGCTCAGTGTCATCAAACTCCCATAGCATTTTGTGTGATATAGAGAAAGAAATTACCATGGCACATGGCTTGGTGAGTAGGAAATACCTTCATATAAAGAAAAAGGCTCCCCTTCCACTGGGAGTCATGGCACAGCAAATGGATCAAAGGCTGGGTTTTAGCTTCCAGTTGCTCCCTATGCTTTGCAGACCTGCCCTGGGGCATTCTGGTGCATTCTCTCATTTGACAAATAATGTTTCAGATTCTTTTCTTGAAGACTTTTCTTTGATAGATGATACTGCTACCCCTAGGCAGTGTCTGATTTGGCCTCTGTTCCTTGGTGACAGGTGGGGTCTGCCTTCAGCAATGAGAGATCCCGAGAAGAGCTTCATACCATTGCATCCATTCCATCTCATGATCACACATTCCGGGTGAATAACTTTGAAGCTCTGAACACCATTCAGAACCAGCTTCAGGAAAAGATCTTTGCGATTGAGGGTGAGCAAGCATCTGTGTTCCCAGAGCAGCTCCAGAGGCATCCTCCACCCCAAAACATATATTCCCGTCTGGAAACTAGACCCTCCTAACCCTTGGTGTCCTGACCCTCAGCATCAACTCTCTCTCCACTGCCTCCAGCTCCCAGCCACCCTGGCCTCACGTGGTCAGTTCCTTTGAAATCAAAGAATCTAGACTTTTATCTCTAATTTTGCAAGTCTTGGTTGTAGGCTGATAAATTGGAGTGTGGGGGAGTCAAATCCCACACAGTGGGTTTTTCCAAAAATTTGGATGTGTTGCCAACATTTGTCTGTTTGGTTCACTATTCTATCCCTGTTGCCTAAAATAGTGCCCAGTATATAGAGAAGGAGCTCAATAAATGTTTGCTGAATAAAAGGAATTTAGTAATTGGTGAGTTTCATACATGATCTGGATTTATGGCTTATCTTGGAAAGTTGGAAGATTAGACACCTTGAGGACCATATTCTTGCTTGGCAAGAAGTAGCTGGAGCTGAGTAGATGTCACTCCTCTAAGAGGGGCATAAGAGGGGCCTGTGCTTTCCAGTTCAACAAAGATCCCATTTGAGCCTTTTGTCTGGCCACCAAGGCATCTGAGTTTCCAGCACCTGTTCCAGGCACTTCTGGTTTCTTTAATGTAAAAAGTTCTCTTCCTCACAGGTACTCAGACGGGAAGTACCAGCTCCTTTGAGCATGAGATGTCTCAGGAAGGCTTCAGTGCAGCCATCACCTCTGTAAGTGGTCCTTCATTAAATTGGGGGTGGGGGCAGCAAGAAGAGACAGAAGAGGTGCAAGGGTTTGGAGGCTCTTCTCTGTGATGGGTCCTTGTTGGGAGTTACCTTTTTGATGGGCAGCGGTGGTCCCTTCTCTCTTTCTCAACAATCCTGTTCTACCCCTTTTCCCAGAACGGTCCCTTGCTGGGTGCTGTGGGGAGTTTTGACTGGGCTGGTGGAGCCTTTCTGTATACTTCAGAGGAAAAATTCACCTTCATCAACACAACCAGGATAGATTCAGACATGAATGATGCTTACTTGGGTAAGTGGGGAGGGCAGGGGTTACTCTAAGAAGGGGTCAGGATGTGGCATAACTCAGCTAGTGTAGATGTCATTGAATCTTTCATAGGCCTTTGGGATAGCTTTAAAGACAGACATTTCAAGATTTAATTTTTATTATATTCACAAAGAAGAATATAATGCGAGGCTCAGTTACCCCAACCTACCACCCATGGGGCTTCCCCATTGTTCTGCTCAAGGGGTGGGTCTGCATGGTGGAGAAGGGGTCAGAGAAAGCACTTCACCTCTTAGTCCACCGTCTTTAGGTTATGCCGCCACAGTCATATCGCGGAACCAAGTGCAAAGCCTGGTTCTGGGAGCACCACGATATCAGCATGTTGGCCTGGTGGTGATGTTCAGACAGAACGGTGGCACCTGGGAGGTCAATGCTAATATCAAGGGTAGCCAGGTGAGTGCAGAGTGTGTGGAGTGTGAATGTGCAAACAAAGGAGCTTGGGGGCTGAGAGATTCTGGGATGGGCATTGCTGGATGCCATTCATAGCTGAGTCTTGTAAAGGAGGCTTCAAAGGCTTTGAGCTGGAGAGTCATGGGACCAGCTTTGTATTCGAGAATGCTATGTCCTTAGTTTTTCTAAAAATAATAAATAAATAAGAACACTTGACCTGTACAGAGCTGACCTCAGAGCTGGTATTCAACCAGGATGTAACCAGTATAGCCATATTAGTTATTAAAATATTAAAATAGTTCCATATCTGTTGATAAATGGAACCCATGGACTCGGGTTCCTCTCCCAGTGCCCTTTGGACTTCCGTATGATCCACCGACTGTGGGGTCAGGCAGGACACGTTAGGGGACCTCCAGGACCTGCTCCAGCCAAGCTCCAAGTACTATTCCTCCGTCCCTGTGCAGCCCTAGCACTTCAATATTTTGAATGTCAATCCTGCAAAAGCAGTATGGTCGCATAGTATGTGGGAACTCATGTGTGAGCCAAAAATCTCTAGTCTAAATCATTCTTGCAAGTTCCTGAAACGGGATTGCACTCATAATATTGTGCCTGTGGTTCTGTGTGTGTTTCTTTCATTTTCATCAGTGGTTCTTTTTGGCCTGCAATTAATAATTGTGAAACCAGTTTGCCCTGATACTCAAACAACTTGTCATAATTCTTTGCTAATAGTCAAATTGTTAACATGGTCTTTCCAAATGTTTTACCAACACATATTGACCGTTGATGGCGTCAGTGCCTGGCATGTGCACGGCGTGGGTGGATGAGAATGTGTAGGGGAATTCCAAGAAGTCAAGTGTGGATGTGATGCTACTTCTTGTTTTGTGTGTGTGGTCCAGGATTGCATGAGGAAGGCTGGCTGGTCAACTTCCCCACTATACACAGGCACCCACAAATTACCATCAAGGGTGATAAATGCTTAAATTGGGACAGTCTGGGTCTTAGGAGAGAAAATGGGAGGGGCATTTACACAAGGGCATTGGGGAAGACTTCCTGGAGGAAGTGACAGTTAAGCCAAGGCCTGAGGTAGAAGAACAAGAGAAGTGAAGGGGAGGAGAGGGGAAAGAAACTGACCAGAAGAGGGAGGAGAGCAAGGGACAGAGTTCAGAGTGTGGGTGTTTGTGGTGGGAGGAGTGGTGGAAGAAAACACTGGAAAGAAGGATAGGTGTGGTTTATCTCAGGCATGCAGGACTTATTCAACATTCGAAAAATCAACACAGAGCTGGGCATGGTAGGACAGGCCTGTAATCCTAGCTACTTGGGAGGCTGAGGTGGGAGGATCACTTGAGCCCAGGAGTTTAAGACCAGCCTGGGTAACATAGTGAGACCTCGTCTCTATAAAAAAATAATATTGCAGAAATGGACATGCTGATCTTAAAGTCCATGTGGACCCAGAATAGCTAAAGCAGTCTTGAAAAAGAACAAAGTTAGAGCACTCACACCTCCCAATTCGAAACTTACAAATCCATAGAGTGAGAATTAGATTTGTGTTTGCCAGGGGATTGGATGGGGGTGGGGATTGGGAGTGACTGAGAACGATATAGAGTTTATTTCTGGAGAGAGGGAATGTTCTGGAATTACTGGTGGTGGTTACACAATATTGTGAATATACTAAAACTCACTGAACTTTATACTGTAAAGTGGTGAATTTTACATTAGGTATATTTTGTCTCAATTAAAAAAGCCATTTTGAAAAAAAAAACACTCACTGTAATTTACCATAATAGCAGATTACAGAAGAAAAAACATGTAATCATCTTAATAGATATAGAAAAATAATTTGACAAAATACAACATCCTTTCATGATTAGAAACTCAGCAAACTAGGAACTAAAGGGAACTTCCTCAACCTAAAAGAGGACATTTACAAAAAATCTATAGTTGGCATCATTCTTAAAAGTGAAAGAGAATGCTTTTCTCCTAAAATTGGAAATAAGGCAAGAATATCCACTTTTACTATTCCTATTCAATATGGAAGACCTAAACAGTGCAATAAAGCAAGAAAAAGAAGGAAAAAAACCATACAGAGTGGGAAATAAAAAATAAAACTATCTTTATTTGCAGATAACACTATTGCATAGAAAATATCCAAGAATCTATAAAACAGCTGCTATAATTAATTTATAAAACAGATACTATAATTAATAGGTCATTTCAGTAAATTATTAGGATACAAGATCAATATGTAAAAATAATTTGTATTCATATAATGTCATTGAACAATTGGAAATTTAAATTAAAAAGTGTCATTTATAATAGTGCCAAAGACCATGTAATACTTAGGTACAAATCTAACAAAATGCCTGTATGCTGAAAATTACAAAACACTAATGACAGAAATCAAAGACTTAAATAAATGGAGAGATATACTGTGGTCACGGACTGGAATATTGGAATTCCAATACTGTTAAGATGTCAATTCTCCCAGAGTTGATCTGTAGATTCAATGCAGTAAAAATTCTGGATAATATTCCACTATGTGTATGCACCACATTTTCTTTATCCATTCCTCTATTGATGGACACTTAGGTTGAGTCTAGATCTTGGTTTTTGTGAATAGTGTTGCAATAAACATGGGAGTGCAGATATGTCTTCCATATACGAATTACCTTTCTTTTGGATATATACCCAGCAGAGGGATTGCTGGATCATATGGTAGTTCTATTTTAGTTTTTTGAGAAATCTCCATATTGTTTTCCGTAGTGGCTGTGGTAAATAACATTCCCACCAACAGTGTACAAGCATTCCCCTTTCTTTGTATCCACGCCAGCATTCATTACTATTTTTTTTTATAAAAGCCATTTTAACTGGGGCGAGATGATGAAAATATACTTGATATGATTTCAGTCTTCTTGAATTTCTTAAGACTTGTTTTGTGGCCTAACATATGATCTATCTAGAGACTGTTCCACGTGTGTTTGAAAAGGTTATGTATTCTGCTGCTGTTGGATGGAATGTTCTGTATATGTCTGTTAGATCCGTTTGGTCTATAGTGTTGTTCAAGTCTGCTTTTTCCTTATTGATTTTCTGTCTGGATGATCTATCCATTATTGAAAGTGGTATATTGAAGTCCCCTATTATTATTATTATAAGAAGAAATAGGCACTTTCATATAACTATTTGTGAAAGGGTAAACTGGTATGATCTTTCTAGGAAGAACATT